CTCCATCCCACTCCCAGGGTTGCATTCACCACCCTGGCTGGGCAGTGCCTGTCCCTGCCCCACTCCCTCACTGTGGGGGCCTTGACCTGCCCCCCCCATGCCCCTTTTCCGCCCCCAGACTTTCCAGCCAGACACTGTTCTCCAAGCTGCTGGGCTGCATTCCTTTAACTTATCGATGGCCAATTATTAACCAGCCATATTGGTTGATACCAATCCAATAGACACCGGCCAGGAAAATCTTTCTTAAGGCACCCTTACATAACAGGAGTGCCAAGAGGGGATGCAGAGCAGAGCACACCGGACAGCACCCAGTGGCCCCCGAATGAGTCCAAGGAGACAGCAGCCCTGCAGGATACTGGGCTAGATGGACCTGTGATCTGACCCTGTATGGCCCTTATGCTCTTAGGAAAAGGATAGAAAATTCAGTAACCAGTGTCAATGTCAAACTGAAAGGTCAGCTCTGTATAGAGGAATGCAGGAATATAATCCTGATTTAGGACTATTCAGGGGGACAGCCTTGTGACCAGGAACCTCCATATAGATATAAATGCAATTTTACTAGAGTCTTTTTCTCAGATGAAGGAGCTAGGGCTGTGCTCTTGGCTGACAGTCGCTGATTCCCAGTTTTCAGGGTGCCCAATGCCTTCTGGATTAGGGGGAGTCTCCCTTAATGGAGAGCCATACATAATGAAGCCATCCACAATAATTCCCAGAAGCTCTCGGTGTAAACAGCAAGGGTAAATGTGGGTATAACAGTTTTTACAAATTTACGTCAGATGAGAGAGTCTTTCATACTTACAATGGGAGTGGGGTCCCTTACGGACTTGAAATAGTCGGACATAAAGAGGATCTGGAGGAAAACTAATAAACTGTAATAGTTTGGTGAATTAATAACTGAAATTTGGGTTAGAATGACATTTAAAGACAATATAACCTGTTTTTAATATAGTTTCCCTATTTTTTTTTGTGTATGGATAATACCTATATATAAATTTGGTGCTTGGTATAGAGATTTTTTTGTGTGTGTGGCTGAGTAAAATACTGCTTTTGGGTTTTAATTACCACATTGCCTACGTATTGAAGGTTAGTAAATTTTCTTCACAGTACATTTTCATGTTAGTTTTGTCAGGCTGAATAATATTAAGTTAAAATTTATTTGATTCTAAGGCAAGATTTTTTTTTTGTCCCTATTTAACATGCAGGGAGGGAGAAAGCCCCTCATCTTAGAATTGCATA